TTCTTGCAAAGTACCTGCAGGCTGTATTTTCAGTGTTGCTTCTGAGCTTTTAAATCCGTACACATCTTATTATCTTTTTTCTTTTTTTGTGTGGATGATGTATATAGTTGGGAATGTTGGGAAAACAGAGTACTCTAGTTAAGTCTTTCGTTAACCTTGGTTTAACTTTCTTGAAACATGGATTTTTATTAAATCCAGGGGAAAATAGCCTTGCAGTGGCTGTGGTAGGCTCCAGGTAAGTATTAAATGCTACGTGCTCGTAAGCAATTTGTAAGGTGGCAGCAGTGAGAGATGATGTAGATGTGGCGTTAATCTTAAGGGTAAAGCTGGTTTGATGCTCTGCTCCAAAGGTCTTAGATAACCTTAAGGCAGCTGCTTGACCTTTGTCTTTTTTATCTGCAAAGTAGGGAAGTAGGAGTAATGCAACATAATGCAGTAGCGCTCCAAGGGTACGCACGTGAAGCACTCACGTGCTATAGGAAGTTAAACCTATCACCTTTCTGTGCAGTGAAGTTTCATGGGGATGCTTTAAGGAAAGTTAGTACTTCCTAGAAGGAAAAGCAACAAACTGCTGGACTACAGAACCAGTGCCATTGCCACACAGTCCGATCATTACAGAGTGCAGCGCTGTGCTCTTGGAAATTTTCTGATAGGTGTACGAGCTGTGGGCTGCAGACCGCAATATTTGTTTTGATTTCTGTGTGAAGTTCTTAGCATATACAAAACCAGAACGTATAGGCATTGGTACCTCTGCGCAGTTGGTATTTTTGGAGGAGTCCTGACTTCTGCTTGGTAGCTTTAAGGCACTGCCTGAGCTCGATGACGGAATGTTCCGAGTGGTGGAAGAGATTCCGGGACCAACCGGTGATGCTGCAAAGCAGTGGAAGCGTTCCTGAAAAAGTCACTTCCTTGAGCCAATGCAGCTTCCTTGTAAATGAGAAAAATGACCTAGTTGTGACTTCTTATGTATTTTACTTTCATGTGTGTTGTCCTTCCTATAAAGTTCTACCCTTGCAGAACAGCTGTTGATCTTCATATAAGCAGCAACCAATGAGCAGTGCTGCTTTCAGTGTAATCAGCAGTGTATTTCAGCAGTAATTTAGGGACTGTGCAAGGGTGGTGCTGAGAATGTTTGACTCCAGCATGGGCGTGTTCAGGAAGATGTCTTCTAATTAAGGGAGGAGCAGAAGATATCTGTTGCTTGTCAAGGGTGTTTGGTGTCTGTTAAAATTACGTTTGGGTTACACAGATTCTCTTACCTAAAGAGAATCTTTATATTTGAGCTTTGAGGAACAGAAAACTGCATTAGCTTTGTGGATGAGCAGCAGTAGATACAAAGCCAGAGGCAGGAGCAGTTTCATCAGGCTGTGTACCTGAGAAGAGCATGGTGCTGATAGATCACCTCCTGGTAGATCTGTGGCCGTGTTACCTTTGTGCAGCAGAAGCATTTGAAAAGTTGATGAGTGCAAGGAGTGGAAGTGGTGACTACTTGGGATGTGCTGAAGCATAACATCTTCTGGTGTGTTTCTCCCCACTTCTTCTCCAGAGGAGAATGGCTTTTAGTGCCTTCTGTGAGACCTCAGGGAGGTTCTTGCCATTGGTCGCCCTTAGCAAACCAGGGTGGACTGTCTGTCTGGTTTAGGGTTTAGGCCTGCGAGGACCCAAGGAGAAGGACTGTATGTCACATGTTTTCTGTGGGCTCAGAAGTGATGCTGTATTTGCTCTGAATATCTTAATACATTGCTCCACAGCTGTAACCCACACACAGGCATAGTTAGCATCTCTGCTGTTTTATTAATGGTGTGCTGGAGTGAGTTGGTGTTGTTTGGTACTCATACAAGTAACAGGTGATTTATTGTGTAAGCTGTGGGCCTACTGGTCAATTAATTGATCAGTATTATATTGATCATCTGTAGCGCATGTGTCAGCTGACTTTAGTTCTTCTCACCATAAACATACGTATGTATTCATAAAATTCATTCTGAGTTATTCAGGAGTGAGATCTCTATGCATTACTTTCAAAAGAATCTAAGTATTTTTCTCCATCTAAAAATACATAAAAGGCACTAAAAGTGCCTTCACCAGTGTCACCCTCAGTGCTCTCTCCTTCAGCTTGCTGGAAGGCTCATATTTGGCATGTAGGAAAACATCAGGCACAGGCTGACATGCTGAAAGCCTTGTAACAGGACTGACTACCACTTTAAGCCCACATGTCAGTGGCTGAGGCTGTACAGCCACCAGGCTGCATTCCTGCTGCATCTGTGGTGTGAGAAGGGAAAGCAAGGGCAGCAGAATCTGCATCATTCAGCTGAGTTCCTTGCTGGCATCTGGATACTGCTGGGAATAGGTTACAGGGTTTAGGAAAATTGTTAGACACAAATCAGTAAAACCTATTGCTATCCTACTATGCTGGTTTTGCCCTGTCGCATTGTACAGTTGGCAGTAGGTCTCTTGTTGTGCCCCGCATCCCCTGCTCCTATTGCAGTGGCAGTTGCTCTTCACCCAGTGCCTCCCATCGCTCTGTTTGGCTCTTTATCCAAAGCTGTCGAATTAATTCAGTCAGTTCCTTGGGGGATGCTGCCTGCTGCTGAGCACCATTTCACAAACGTAGCTGGCTTTGGGCTGTTGCCTTTTCTGAGCTCTCAGGCACAGAGCCTCAACAGAGATTTGGCTTATATTACACATACCCTGAGCAGTTTTTCCTCTTCTTCCAGCTGGACTGCTTACTGTGCTGATCATCCTGTTCCTGCCTTTCAATTTGCTCTTTCAACCATGCTCCATTTACTTTCCTACACAGAGTACCTTCAGTGTCAGGAATGTGGCCAGGTGAGGGGCAGCCCTATAGCTATAGTTTTCCAGATCCTTTCTGGCAGGAATTTTGGAGGAGGAACTGTCTTGAAAACTGCTGATGTTCTTTCCATTAAAAACAGTGTTGGTTTTTGGCCCTTAAGTTTTTCCTGCTGCCATCTCAGCTGTAACTTTAAATTTAATTTCTACTTTTTTTTCTTGCACTTTTCCCAAATTCTTCATTCTCAGATTTTAAAGATTATTTTGTCCAATCATAATATCTAAATAAATGAAGCTGGTTTCTCCATGTGTTGTTTTGTCTTGCTGTTATCCAGTTGTTCTTTTTGCACAAACTATCACTCTGTTGCTGTTGTCTTCCTCTTCAAATGTTGTCCAACCCTCCCCAGAATACTGCACCCATTCTGGTTTCCCCCGAGCTCCTCTTGCTGACAGCATTACTTTTGAGCTCAGAGCTCTGTGTCTGTTTTTACCCTGCTGCTTGTTGCTGCTGAACAATGATATTTCTAAAATACGTTAACCTTTCCATGGATATAAATCACTTGCCATGGTTCCCAGTTACCATTATGTGACTACTGCCCCATCAGCCTTTCTGGTGAAACTGTTTGCCTTGATACAGAATCTATTTAAGGATGAGTTTGGCTGAGCACTGTGGGATTTCTCAAAGTCAGCTTGGCTGTATCTTTGTAGAAGTCATTCTTCCCTGGAAGCAGCAGAAAAATACTTTTCTTTCTCCAAATAGGAGAGATGGTAAGAATCTGCTATGAAAGATCCCTGCCAGCTGTGGATTCCAGCTGTGTGATGAGATATGAACCTGGCCTGTTTATGAAATAAAATAAACGTGAGAGTTCTTTAGCTAATTGTATTTGAATATCAGTGTTAAGGACTAGGGATGTTTAAATATTGTACTAATAGTCGATTTTGGAAGACAGAATCTTTTCTGTTTTCTTCCCTGAGCTCTCTGGTTTTTCTCCCAGTTTCTGCATAGGCTTTGTATCTGTAGCAAGCTCTGCAGCTGCAAACAAGTCGGCTCTGAGTTATTTCAACAGAGTTCATTTGCCTATAGAGAAATATCCCTTCACACACCAAAAATTGTGCTCATCTTCTGGTGATTTTATGAGGACCAGGGATGTCAGCACCAGCCCAGGAGGAGCCCTGCTGGGCAGCTGTGCTGTGAGGCACGTTGCTCTTGGCAGTGACTGGTTGAGTAAGTAATCTCCTTTGGAAAACGTGGGTAAATCAACTGTGTTAGCATTGTGGCTCTTCTGGAATCTGGCTGCAGAAATAGAGCCATGTGTTTGCTCCCTGCTGACACCGTCTGCTCCTGTGTTCCTCCAGCCAGCATCCGTCCTGACTGTGGGCTTGTCACAGGAGCAGGGAGTGTGTCAAAGTGGCCCTGGGAATACCGTGCTTCCTACTCTGGGACAGAACAACTAAGCCAGGGTTGTGTCTGTGGGAAGGGTGTGCTTTGCCCAGCTGGGCTTGGATTTCTAAATCCTTTCCTGCTCATTTGTGCTCATGCTCAGTGTGCAGGGGGCCCTTTATTATATCCATACAAGGAATTATGTTTGCCGGAACAGTGTGGCTTCCAGTAGTCTGTTGTGAAGGAACGGTGCACAGGTGCTGCTGCAGTGGGTGTTGCCTGGTTTTTGCCTCCTGGCAGATCACTGTGAGGCACAGCAGTAGTTCAGCCTGGGTTACAGAGCACGTAGAACAAGGTTTCTTGTACAGCACAGTGAAAGGCACTTGTGTTTCACGGTGCTCTCAGCTTTGCATCCTGTTGGCTAAACTCAAGATAAACAAGAGCAGCCTTTCTGACCTGTGCCCGGAGCATCTGGGTGACTGAAAAGGAGGAGAAAGTGAAATGGGTACAGATCAGCCTGATCTTGGAGGCTTTGCCCTGAAATCTAGCTTGCTTCCAGCTCTGACAGCTGGCCAGAAATCCCTGGAGAAAATGTGCCTTCCCAAGAACCTCTCAGTTATCCTGTAAGATCCAGTTTTAATTTCAGTTATATTGGTATCCCTTCAGTTAGCTGAAACAGTTTTAAATAGCCTGGCTTCCAAACACAGTTACATTTTAAATTAAAAAAACATATATATATATATAAATTGGAACCATGCTCACTTTATTTGTTTGTGTACATCTTTCCTTCCATTTTCAAGAATTGCATCTCATGTCCAATTTCTTTTTGCAGTTTTGTTCAGTGGAGGGACTGCTGTATGTCAGCCATGCTAAAGGGCAAGTGATGGAGGCAAGTATTAGTTTATATATTCATAGTTATCTCATACTGTTTTTACCAGTTTCGCCTTTTTAACTGCTTTGTTTCTTTCCCACTGCTGCTGTGAAATACCTGCACAAGTGAAAGACTGTATGGGCATGTTCTGGGAGGGAACCATGTTATGTGATCTGCTCAGTGTGACTGTGGGTATAGAACGACTAACTGTCCCTGATGTACTGTATGCTCATACAAATGAGAAGTGTTGCTGAGCTTCATCCTGAAGGCACTGCTTTTTTTCCCTCAAATATAGAACAGAGTTGTTACGAGTTGAAAGCAAGCATAAGGATTCAATGTTATTGCAAATAGATGTGCTAATTTATTCTGCTGATTCACAGTTCTTCTCATTTTTGAGTAAAGCAAATGTTTTTCTCTGCAAAGCTAGGTACTAGTACAAATAAGTAGCTCTAAGGACCTTCGTACCAGAAATGCTCTTTGAAAAGCTTTGTTCAGACTCGCAACAGATTCACCATACGGAAATGTGAGCAGATGACCACAAAGCTTCTGTAGGAGCTTCTGAGTCATGAGTCAGTGTAATGTCAGCAATCATTCACAGAACACATGGGCATGGCAGTGACACGTTTGTGAACTAACTGGGCTCATTTGTTTCAGGTGAGTTTGTAAATTGAAACAGAGCTGATTGGAGCAGTTGATGGTTTCCAGCAGCTAATGAATGCATGGAACTTCAGTTAGAGGTGATATTGTTTTAGATCAATAGTATTGCCAGTGGTAATCTGCATAGAAAGCATATGGTAGATAGTAAAAGTAAAAATGATGAGTGAGGAATATGTTGGAAATCTGTTCTGAACTACAGCTTTTCTGCGAGACCAAACTGAAAAATGAATGCCAAGAGAGTTAGCTAGAATGGAAAGTTACAGGTCAGCTGTCAAGGCTGTATTTCGTACGGCAAGTAATTCTGGGACTCCTGCTTTTTTTAGCCATTGAGTTTTGTTCACTTAACTGCTTTTTTGTTTTGAATTTTGTTCACTTCTTTCTGCTGAGTGATGAGAAAAATCTATTTGTGCCTTTTTTTCTCAAAACCAATGAATAGGAACATGAGATTCAACTTCATGGGAATCAGTTACGTTAGAAAAAAGTAGAAGTAACTTAAGAAAGAGCTTAAAAATCCAACTGTGATACTGATCACCTAAGGCATTATGTATGTAAAAATAAAAGATTGGTGGTTATCTTTTGATTCTGCCACAGTTCCACAGTGAACGTGGGTAAATATTTTTACTTTCTTCTGAGGTGAAGCTTATTGCTTTGCCTTTAAATGGGTTATTGATTAAAATGATGATATATTTTAACTGGTGCTTTTAACGTGGTTTCAAAGTGCTCAGCTAAAATACTGTAAGATTCCAGTGGTTTGCTTTGTAGTTATTGAACGTCATCTCACCTCCAACTTAATGCAGTGATGTTTGGGGAAAAGAATAAAAAGCAGAAGGGAGTGTGATGCAGCTCTTGGATGTTTTTGGATGCCAGTTTAAAAAGCATCTTGGAACATCTGTTCTAACCCATTGTGTTGGGTTTCAGAAGTACAAAATTGAGAGCTCTGCAGCTGTAGCCTCAGTGCACTGTATTTCTGCAGCTGCTTCAAAATGCAAACGGATGTTCTCAAATCCCAAGCATGCGTTCCATTTCACATGAAATGTTTTTTAAAGCACAGGCTGCCTTTTGCCAAGATTGAGTTGACTTCTGTGGTCTAGTTTCTGTATTTTTATAGAAGCCTAACCAAAGTGTTTTCCTGCAAGAAAACAACGATCAGCTTCTGAGCACGTGATCTCATGGTGCTAATGTGAAACTCAGATATTGTGTCCTTCCTTCCTTCCTTCCTTCCTCATTCCTTGCTGTACTTCTCCAGCAGTGTGTTGTTACAAAAGTTCTCAGTTGCACAGTAGTGTAACCAGCTGCTTTCCGAGCTCTGCTGATGTGAGGAGGGGAGGCTGATGTCTTCTGGAGAAAACCTGCGTGTTTTCCCTGCCGTGGAGGCTGAGCTACACGCTGTGGTGCTGCATTCTCTGCCCATTCAGAAGGGTTCCTTGATCTTCTTTTAAAAAGGAGTTTCTGTTTTCTCCGAGAATTATGGATGGGACTATGCCCATTGAAACCATTTCACTTGCCTGTCCTTGCTTGACTTTCCTGTCTAGTTTCCAGTGCAATCAATAGATGCTGGCAGCAATAAGGCATTTCTTACTGCTTGGAGATAAATGGTTAACTGATTTGGAAATGTTCTGTCTTCTTGCATTTATCAAATACTGTGGAGTTAAGCATTCTGCAGGAAAATCAGGTAGGCAGGACAGATGTTATGATTGAAGCATGTTCCTTTGATAAGGAACAAAATTAATTCTGCCAAAAAGTCTAACATGTTCTATGAAAGTGTAACTTCACGTTATGTTACATACTACTGTGGGCTTTGTGTTCTTAATAACAAAAAAACCCCTTGTTCTTTCCCTTCCTCCTTCCCCACTTTTGTAGACTTTTTTTCTTTAAAAGAAAGCCTTTCTTGCTTCACTTTGTGCTGTGCTTCTTCCCCTAGGCAATAAATGAATTGTCTCATACAAGCTTTGGCTTCTGCACACAGCCTTAGATGCAACTAATACCAGGATTGAGGGATGCTTGGAAAACCGATAAATTTGTTTTGTTAATGGCATGTTTTGTACATTGTTTTTTTTTAACCCACTAGTTTCTGCATGGATGTGTAATAATGGCTCTTTTGTTTAACATTAGATAAGCATGAGATCACCGTGGCACAGCTGCATGTGTAGTCACTCTTGAAGCAATTGCACACCTAATTGGCTGACAATCTTGGCATTTTTAAAACAAACACAAGCCTTTTAAAGACAGGGGACATGTTTATTTACGAATAGTCAAATTAACCGGTGGGGTGTCATCAATGGAGCCCTCTGGCAGTGAACAGTTGTGCGATGACCCTGATCCTGGAGGCAAATCCCAAGATCAAGAGACCAAAAAACAACATGAATCAGAGCAAAAATTATCCAAAATAACCCATAATGCTTTGGAGAACATTAATGTGATTGGTCAAGGCTTGAAGCACCTTTTCCAGCATCAGCGCAGGAGGTCGTCAGTTTCTCCACATGATGTTCAGCAAGTTCAGGCTGATTTGGAGTCTGACATGGATTTGGAAAGCCAAAGCGCCTGCGCTGAAATTGATGGTGTCTCCACCCACCCTACAGCTCTGAACCGAGTGCTTCAGCAGATCAGAGTGCCACCTAAGATGAAGAGAGGGACGAGCCTGCACAGCAGGCGGGGCAAGACGGAGCCTCCCAAAGGAAGTCCCCAGATCAACAGGAGGTCTGCACAAGATATGCAATCAGGTCGTCCCAGATCGTCGTCCACTACAGATGCTCCCACGAACTTGTCCGTGACGGAGATTGCTTCTTCTGTCTGTGTAGGTGGAGAGGAGGCCACAGCAGCAGTAAGTTACTCAGATTTACCTTTGGTGTTTATCATCTCCTTGTGTGTTTTCTTAAGACTTTTGAACCTTGTTTTTAAAAGCAAGTGTCTTTCAGCAAACTGAACTACTACTGTGTTCAAAATCTTTTTGCGTGTGATGAAGCAAAGATGCAAGCATTAGTCATTTTCTCACATGGCAGGTGCTTATTTTATTTGATTGCTGAAATGAGGACTACTTCTGCAGCATGTTAAGCTGGTCAGATGGTGCATTGCAGGCAAGCAAGGAATGATGGGAAGAGCAGCAGCCTGAGTAGTCCTTCTTAGCAGCTATTTCCTGCAACTGATGTGACTTTTTTTCTTCCCTTCATATTTTATTGTGTATTTTCTAAAAGTGAGGAATTCCAGTTTGAGCAAATGGAGCAGTGGTTTGTTCACATTGTAGAGAGGCTCTGGGGATGGTGGCTGCAGTAGGTAACTGAGTTGCGATGTCAGGGTGGCCAAATCTGTCAGTCAGCCCTACTGCTGTGCTGAAATGAGCCTTTGCCAAAATGACAGTCTCTGTTTTGTGACTTGTTCTTGCAAAGTTATGTGTATTGGTTTACTGATGATATCAAGTAGAAGTATTTGTCTTAATCTTTCATGTTTCCCAGATCTGTTTATCTGAAGTGCTTGCAAGATCTTCAAATTGTGGCTTATCATTGTGATCTAGTGTGTAAATATTCCTCTTGGAAGGAGCATTGAGAGTCTAACTTTGAGATTTCTGTTCTGACAGCAATTAAAAGAAAAGGAATAGTGATATAATTGGGAAAAGTGGATGCTCTCCAAGAACCGGTTAACTTTGTGTCTGAACTGTATCAAAAGAGCTCTTATACTAGTTTCAGGTTTATTTCCTTGCAAGCTCTTTTTCATTGTGATTGGACTCATGACCTTTGTTTCAGGTGAACTTTGAAGAGAGCCAGTAATTTTCCAAGTTTGTATCCAAATGCAGCAACTTGAGTTATGAAGCATGGCAGCCTGTTTTGGTTTGTCAGGTTACAACCTTAGCTCATTTAGATCTGATATACTTGATTTTAAACATGCTTGCTTACTTACAAAGCGCTATTGCAAGTGATGTCTCAGTGTACGTGCAGGAGGGGATGCTGTTCTGAAAGTGCTCACATTTTCCTTTAGTAGTGGCCCTTGCATCTCTGTGATACGTGTGCAATGTGAGAACCCTTTGTCACGAGGCTGAGGAAGGCCATGGAACTGAAGTTGATGCACCTCAGCATAGCCCCTCTTTATCTCATCATCCAAAGTGTGTCTGCTGCTTTCAGACTTGCACCTCACACTCTGCCCTTAACCTGAGACAACCTCTGCGCTAATTTGGGATTGCTTCCTGACACCCATCCTGAAAAGCATAGGTGGACTTTGAGATAAAATCCTAACAAACCCTTCAGGAGTGCTGACAGCATTTGTTGACATGTCTCTGAGCTTTGATGTTTTAGTAATGTTACTATCTGTGTAGGCCCATGTAGAATTGGGAAAGAAAAGAGTGAGCAAGGGGGGGGGAATCTTAAAATGAGAGCAAGAATTTTTTATTTTTAGCAGAACCAACTAAAAGCCAAAGCAATGGCAATACTCAGTCATGAACTTTTTGTAAGCTAGCAGCAAGGGCCTCTAGTCATACAAGATTCAGTTTACGTCAGAGATTTGACATGCTTGTACACAGACTCAAGCTGAGACAGTACTGGCTCTGGCTTTGCACTTTCTTACACGTGTACAGCTACAAGGTAAATATCAGTCTTCAACATCTGGCTACATAACAGCATTCAGTTTCAAATGCAGTGGGTTGCTAGTGCTCACTCTATGTAACATTCTGCAGTTGTGCTTCTATATGGTGTGATATATATATATTTTTTTTAATAAAAGGCTATGGAGTGATCATCTAAAATGCATCATTTCCCCACCCTCGTCCTGAAGCTTTCTTATAACTTTACAAAAGATAGATGTGTGCTTAAGTTGTCAATCTATGTTTAACCAGCTTCAGCTATGACTGATCAAAGTTGAGTAGTGTCTGGAGGAACATCTGGCTCTTGCCAAAGGATGACGGTGGAAACAGATACCCTGAAGATAGTAAAGAAAACCAAAAACTGCCGTGGATTCCATACAGTGGCTTTCTGCAGTGTGGAAAATACCAAAACAAGCAAGAATTGGTGAAAATTGTTCTTACTGGCTGTAAATGACCCAGGAAACCATACTAGCAGCATGGAGCTGTGTCTGTGGTTCCTATCCCAGGCATTGGTGCCATACAGCATCTCATATCTTAGAAAAGTGCTGTCATAAAAGCCATGCCTGTTGTAGTCTGCAAGCAGTCTAGAGCTTCAGAGTTGCTTGGTTCTATTTTCCATGGGTGTCCATCATGAGTGTCCATGCAGTAGAAATTTTCAAGCTGGGAAGTTTCTGTTTCATTTGTCAGCTTATTATGTCTTTATTAATAACTAAAATCAGTGAGTTATCTCAGATAGTGTCAGCTGCCTGGCCATGAAAACATGAAGACATTAAAAAAAAACTTGGAACCCAGTTTGTAATAGAGAATTCTATGCAGCAGCTAATTGCTAGCATCTCTAGGTCTAGCAGTATAAAAGTATTTTCTTGTTCTTCCATTATTTTACAAACTTCATTCAGACATGCTTGGTTTTATCAGTTTTTGGTATAATCATATCATAGAATGTCTTGAGTTGGAGGCTCCTTAAAGATCTAGTATTCCAGATGGGGCCCCAAGGTCAGGAAGGACTAGAACAAAGTGCAAATAAATGACTGGAAAGGCTCTGTGATAGACAAAATACAGTTGAGATAGGCAAAGTGCAGAAATGACTGTGGGACTGGAGCTGAAGGAGAGGTGTGCTTGTGTCAGCCCTTCACACAGCCCGGCCTCGGATCAGCTGGCTGTGCTCAGGGCTCTGGTGAAGAAAGTCAGGAATCTGCTCAGCAAGGGTCTGAAATCAGAAGAGAGCAGTTCAGCCGATCGTTGAATCGGTCTTGTAAGAGGCATCGGTGCGTTTGGCATCTGAGAAGCAAATGTGGCATTCAGTTAATTGCTTTTTCTTTAGCGACTTGTATTGCAAAACTAGTTACCACACAGTTCAAATGATGCAGTTGAAAAAGGGTGTTTAGCAACTTGTGTTGCAAAAGCAGTTACCACACAGTTCAGATGGAGTCAATAAAGGGCTAGGTAACATCTGGAACTGTTGCAGTAAGCTTAAATGGAGCACAGGGCACGTTAAGCATGAACTCAGCCCTTACACACTGTCTTTAAGTTATGAGTGGTGAAGTTTTAACACATTGTTACATCAGGGAAACGGGGTGAAAGTATTTCATCCACTGAATCTGCATTATTTCGCAAATCTTACGAAATAGGAATAAGTTCTTCAAAATACTTGTTAAATAACACTCTGGTATTTGTGGGGAGAGTACTCTGGACTAGTAGGTTCAGCTCTTGCCCGTGTGTGCTCTTGCCAATTGTGTATGCAGCAAATCTGTCCTTGATCTCATTTCATATTAACTTTCTCATGACTATGCCAAGTTATCTTCTTTTTGATCTCAATCTCTCAAAAAAGATCTTTAAAAAATAAAGCACCACCAAGTTCGCTTTCTTGATGTTGGTGTTTCTTCAGTGGCAGTGTTTCTTCTGTTCTGTAGGGACTGTACAACTCACAAGGACAAGGAAGCAACGTATTCAGTGAAAATACTGTGATTTAGTAGTGACTGAAACGTGTAGTGTGTGAATTGCAGTCGAGCAATGTTACTCTGTTTTTGTCTGCTGAATGTCTTCTGTCCTCAGCTGAACCGCCAGCCCCCATCGCCTGTTGTGCTCTGAGGTTAGTGGCTGCCACTGTTGTGGAGCTCTTCTGCCCCCGTCAGATGCATGGTGGCACTCATCCCTACACCGTGCTCAGTGCTGCTCCTTGAGCAGAAATTCCTGCTCTGCTTTGCCTTCTTTTTTTTCTTCCCAATGTTTAGATCCTGCCATCTAGAAGAACTACTAGGCATTTTATTCTCTTGTAGTGGTTTCATTATTGCAACGTTGCAAATTGCATTTTGAAATAAGGGGCAATGCATTCCTTCACTACAGTGTTCTGTAGCTACTAAGTAATGCTGCATAGTGTCTGTGGTTATTAAGCCTAGAATTTGCCCGTGACTGCAAAAGATTTCGGTACATGTGTCAGTGGACATGGCTTACTGAGAAATTAGCTTTCAATTGTATTTTGTTAGGTGCATGTAAAAGCTTTTGCAGGCTGCTCTAAGTTGTCAGTGCTCGTTTGTGTGGCAGGAGCCTTATCTGTTGCAAATGTATTTGTGAAGCATAGATGGAGAGCAGACCAAATGCTTCTGTCTAGAGTTTACCTCTGAAGCTAAAGAGCAGTTAAACACATTCAGACTATTTCCATGTCTTCCATATTTGCAGAGTCTGGCCCAATGTTTCGTGCTTTGTCCTTCTGTGTGAAGTTGTGCTGCACCGTGCTTTGAAATATATGCTCTCCTCTGCCTACAGATATGGTGTTCTGAGCACAGCGTTTGTGATTCATTGTGCTGTGCAGTTGGGCCTACTGTTATACTTAATTTTTAACACTAGGTGCTGTACTGTAATTTGGAGAAAGGAAAAAAAAAAAAACTTCATCGATATGGCTGTGTTAATGAGGTAAGTAGCAGAAGTGAAAAATGAGTTGTTTTTTTTTTTTTAATGAGGTGTCCATTTGTGAAACTGAGACCATGCTGTCGTGGGGCAGTTGTTAAAGATGAGACTCCTCAGACCTGAAGCAGATGGCAGAGCCTGCATTCCTGGACCTGCCTTTCAGGGTCCCCTTCTAGGGAAAAAGTTTTCTCCCACCTGCCCCACATGTGTAAGTTTGGCATCAAAGTTCTTAGCAGGGGGGGGGAAAAAACACACAACTTACCAGACATGGCAATATTTTCTACTGTCAGCCCTGTTCCCCTAATCACTGCCTTTTGCAATTGATAATTCTATTACCATGTTCCTACCTCACCTCCACATTTTCTCCCCAAACTCTGTTATGACTACGTGAGCTGGTCTTTGTTCTTATCCTGGAAACCATTTTGTAGTTAAAGTCTATCTACAGTTTAAGTCCTGTGTGTCACTCCAGATCCTGAGTACCAAAGACATCTTGTTAGGCTTCATTCTTCCTTTCCCAGAACCTTCTCTTTGTCCAGCATGCTTTGTGCGGCAGGTCAGCTTTCATCCATCTCCTGATGATCTACACCCACTCTTCCTTTTTTGTGCCTATAACCTCATTGACCCCCATACTAAGTACGCTGCCAGGAAGTTTAGGAGGTTAACATTTTCGAATTATTGTTTCCTTAACCCAGGAAGGGTTTTGTGTGCTTTGTCTTATTTCTCTCCCCCTCCTTTGTATGTGGATACTGCAAAGTTTTGGAGAGAAGAATCTTTATTTCTTGTTTATCTTGCTTAATCCTCTGAGAGCAGTCAGGACTTATATTGATGTTATGAGCAGTAACTCATGTTTGTATGATTCTACAGAATAATGAGTACTGGGGAGCCCAGTCCTGCGTGATGCTGAGGTCCTCTGTTCCAAGTGGGAGTTAAGGACACAGTGCTTTTGCATAAGGGAAAGTAAACTCTAAGTAATCCATTGCATGCAAGGTATTTTTAGTTCACAGTATTGTTCTCTTCTCTGCTCTTTTCAGTTTCTGTTGAATTTGAAGGGCAAATTGCTATCCCAAAACCACAAATCAGATTTGACCTAACACCTCATTTACAAATGTTTGCATGTGTAATCATCCTACTGTGTGTTGTCAGGGTTGTTTAAAAAAAAAAAAAAAAAAAAAAAAAAAAAGGACTCCTGGCATGGAAAATAATGCAATAATTAAAGTTTTGTGGAGATATTTCATTTGATGTTATATTTCTAGTAGTGAACATCTAAATGTTTTTGCATAAAGCCTTGTTTTTCTATAAAAGCAGCCCTCTGAGCTGTGAAATCAGATCTTTGGTGGCTTAGAAATGGTGGTGTGAGACTGCTTGGGTTTCACTGAGCTTTTTGTGGGTTAAGGAGTTATGGGGCATGAACAAACAACAATATTAAAGTGCCAGAGCTACAAAAGTAGCAGCTGTACTTAGGTGAGAGGTTGCTCTCTGTGTTGGAATCTTACCAGCGTCAGTTCCCGAAGGAGGGCTGCAAAGAGCACGGAGCCAGGCTTTTCTGTAGTGCCCAGCAGCAAGTGTAGATGGCAGAGGGCAGAAATGGCAACGTGGCGGAGCAGGCAGTGGAGCACTGGGTCAGGTCACCCAGACTGGGGGCTCTCCCTCCTTGGAGGTCTCCAGCCTGGATGTGGAGCTGGGCACAGCTCTGGTGGAGGGCCATGCCCACCTCTGCCAGTCTGTGGTACTGTGGTACGGAGTTGAGACTTCACATATTGAGGTCACTGACCTTTTGGATGGATTTTAACAGTCGGGGAATGCTGAAGATACAGGGCGGTGATCATTGGATCTATGTCAAGGTGGAGGCCACTAACAAGCGGCGTCCCCCAGGGCTCTGTCTTGGGACTGGTGCTCTTTAACATCTTCATCAATGACAGCGATGATGGAATCGAGTGCACCCTCAGCAATTTGCTGATGATACCAAGCTGAGCGGTGCGGTCGACATGGTGGAAGGAAGGGAGGCCATTCAGAGGGACCTCGACAGGCTGGAAAGGTGGGCAAGGTGAACCTGATGAGGTTCAACACGGCAAAGTGCAGAATTTTGCACATGGGCCAGAGGAATCCCAGGCATCCCTACAGACTGGAAGGGGCGGTGCTTGAGAGCAGCCCTGTGGAGAAGGACTTGGGGGTCTTGATAGATGAAAAGCTTAACATGAGCCAGCAGCGTGCTCTTGTGGCTCGGAAGGCAAATGGTGTCCTGGGCTCCATCAGAAGAGGGGTGACCAGCAGGGACAGGGAGGTGATTGTCCCCCTCTGCTCTGCTCTTGTGAGGCCCCATCTGCAGCACTGTGTCCAAGTGTACAAGAAAGTACAAGAAAGACAGGGAGCTGTTGGAGAGGGTCCAAAGGAGAGCCATGAAGATGATCAGGGGACTGGAGCACCTCCCCTACGAAGACAGGCTGATGGAGCTGGGCTTGTTCAGCCTGGAGAAGAGAAGCTGCGGGGTGACCTCATTGCAGCCTTTGGTACCTAAAGGGAGCCTACAGACAGGAGGGGAATCAACTCTTGGAAAGGGTTGATAACTGCAGGACAGGGGGAAATGGTTTGAAGTTGAGGGAGGGGAGATTTAGATTGGACAGATTTAGATTGGATTAGTCAGGGGGAAACTCTTTACAGAGAGAGCGGTGAGGTGCTGGAGCAGCTGCCCAGAGAGGCTGTGATGCCCCGTCCATCCCTGGAGGTGTTCAAGGCCAGGTTGGATGGGGCCCTGGGCAGCCTGGGATAGTATTAAATGTGGGGGTTGGTGCATGCAGCAGGGGGTTGGAGATTCATGATCCTTGAGGTCTCTTCCAACCCTGTGATTCTGTGGATGAAATCAAGAAGCCTAAAGCAGAGCATCTCAAAGTTTGTCTGTGCCCATGCCAGCACTTCAGTTTATGTTCCTCCACTGAGATTCCTCAGAGAGCAGCTTTCTGAGGCACTTTGTGCACTTCAGCTCTGCTGTGTTCTCACCCTGTTTTCATTTTCAGTGATTAGCTTTCATAAATATTTTAATTTTCTTTAGATATTGGCTGCCAACTTAAATCTATATTCTGGTAGTATCTGTATAAAAACAAAGACTGCATGTGCTTCAATTGTGTAATAATTGCTGGCCTGTACTTAGTGGACTCCTTAGTGTTCTCCTGTGGCAGTACTGGCATCCTGAGCGTCACATAAAGGCTCCTCACAGTAACCTGCTTTTCTTAGTTACTTTTTAATGACCCTTTCCAAACAGGCACTCTGGTGACATATTAATGGCTCCTGGAACAGCCACCTGTAACGATGCAGCAGCTTTCTGTATTGTTAGCACCGTGTGGAAGCATTACTTGGGCTGTCTGTAAAAGATTGCCTAAGCTGTCACACATCTCACAAAATAATAAGCAGTACTCTCTGCAGCGCATGTTTGCTCTCCCATTCAGTGCCTGTAGATGGTAAATGTTTTTGGAATTTTACCATAATAAATTCTAAATAAAACATTTTGTAGTTCTCCCCCTGAAGCACCACTTTTACATTAAAAATAATTTTTCCCATATAAACAGATGAAGTCAGTCAGGAGCCCTTCTGGAAATAATGTATTAACTTGCAGTACATGCAGCTGAATCATGTTAAAACACCACAGATCGTGCAGAGTTGGCGTGGTTTGTAACGAGGAGGAGGAGCTTTTCTTCGCTGTAAATAGGAGCGTATGCATACTTGGCAGTGATGTACCACGGAAATTTGGATGGGTTGGTGTGTGAGGGGCATCAGGATCATTTCAGTCTCAGGAAATAATTTTCGAAGATAATGCTGCAAGTAGCTACAGCTACAGATCTGAACTTCCAGAAGATGCAATTCAGTAGCTGTGTGCAGTATGCCACAGTGACCACTGCTCTCCTGCTCCAGCAGAAGGGCTGCAACGCAGTGCTGTGCTTTGTGCAGGGATAGGGTTGCATTGTTTGCATCTTGCAACAAGATAAGATAATAGCAGATTGTGTAGTGGTGTAATTGCGGAGTGATAGGTCAAGAGTAGGCTGAGGGTTATTTTACAGGCACAGAAATTGATCTTCAGTTGCTTAATTGCTTCGAATGACGATGTTGTGCCAGGCACTGCCTTTCCCTGCCTGGTGGCTGTCACCTTTGTGAAGCGCTGGAGTGACCTTGTGCTCAAAGTTGTCTTTATGGACAAAGTGGAAGGACACTAAAATACAGGAGAGCCAAGAAATTAATTTTAGTATAATTGACATCTGAGAGTCCAATTGTCATTAGTCCAGATTTGTTCCAGAAAATAAAAATGAATAATGCCAGTAAAGATGTTATATGCACACTTAGTAGTCTCTGACCCTTTTCCTCAGCCTGTGCTGATCGGTGCTGTGCAGCTGGGAGCATCTGGTGTGCATTCATCAACACAGCATGTATGGGGACCAAGCAGTGGCTGTGAGCACAGTGAGGGGAGGGTGCTGCACTTCAGCAGTGCCAGTAGTCATGAGTGTGGCATGCAATCTCTTGTTCATCACAAGCTAAAATGCGTAACTAATGGTGGTGACTATGTTGGAAAATAGCGTTTTGTGTCTGAGCACGTACTCTATCCAACAGCACTGATGTGCTTTGTAGTTGCTGTAGTTTCTGTGGAAATAAATAGGAGGTGTTACTTCTGGAGGGCTCCAATTTGTCAGCACTGAAGGAACACAGGTGCACTCACCAGAGCAGAACGGCATCCAATGAGGAGGGCAAGGAGGTCTGAATTAGCAGTGTTTGTAGTTTTTGAGTGAAGCAAAGAAATTTTGATTGAAGAAGCTGCATCCAAAGACCTGGAATGCCACAACAGTGAGAAAAGTGAAGCAGGTTCCTATTTTCTGTTCAGTTGTTAACTTTTTCTGTACTCTCAGTTATTTCTGTGTTGCTATTTGAGATTTTTTTAGATGGGGATGACATCTTTATGTCAGGATTTTTTAATGATCTTCACATGTGGAAGGCTTTAACAGGAAGTAATACTACAGATGATTTGGTGTAGATGCAGATAAAACCGATGATGCCTCTGTACCTTTTTCTGTATGCAGAACAAGTGTCCTTCCTGCAGTCTCAATCGATAGAGGGAGCTCTGACTTTTCAGAACATCTGTATGCAAACAGTTCACTTCATCCATCCTGAAAATAAATTGGTTTGTGCTATTGAGTTGGCTTTCAGAAATATGGGATGCTGTCCTCACAGTGATTGAGAGAGAATCATGCTCACACAGCGCTGAAACTGAGTATTTTCTGTGAAATGTAAATAATACAAAAGAAGCTTAAATTAAAAGATATGTAAATTTAAGCACCCTTCTTGAATCTAGTTTTGTTTTTCTGAAGCAACTTATGCACTGTTGTGTGCAGAAAACCATAGACTGACAGCAACAAATTTAGCTTTGTGCAAACCAAAGGGCTGGGCTGTAGGCATCAGTTCTTCAGGCCCTGTCTTATAAATGGGTGTGTTTACATTTATGCAGGCAGATGCTGCCTGCTTATTTGTCTGGCCATGGAATTAAGAGATTTTGTCCCCGGGACAAAATGCACGGGACTGGCTGCGGTCCTTAGGCACCATACCTTGCTGTTGTGGGTTGGGGGGCAGCAGGTTGGGGAGCGGTGGCTGCAGGTCTGCAACTGGGGGCGGTGTGGGGGTTTACAAGTCAGTGGCAAAGCTGCCACGAGGGGCTCTGAGTGCTGCATGGAGCTCACTGGGACACTGAGCTGGGAGCAGCTGTCCTTCACAAGGAGCAGTGTTGTGCCTGTTAGGTAGTGGGGATGGCAGTGGACTTATCTGACCCCTAGAAATTGTAATCAGAGACTGTTGAAGGAAACAGATCTGGTAGTGCATGTAGAGGTGTGGGGGATGCGAGGCATTGGGCTCAGCCCCATACTTGCAGCAGGACCTGGCCGTGGCAGTGCTCACTGTGTGTGTGTGTGAGCATTTGACCACTTCATTGCATGGGGCTCCCTTTTTGTAGTCTGAAATTCTTCTGCTGCTTCTGTAATTTTTTGTATCTCACATTACTAACGGATAAGATTATCTCAACCTCCCCTTGTACTGTCACTTGTTTCCTGCAGACAGCCCAGGTATTTGCGCTGCTGACCTACCCACAGCCTTGTCTTTTCTATTTTCCGTAGCTGAATTCCACCTGCAGCATTCCTGTGACAAGAAGCGTGCACTGAGCCTACAGCTGAGGCATTGCACTGCACTCCTGCACCATGTAGATCAATGCATGTAGACACAATGTGAAAGGAAGGTGTTTAATTAGCTCTCAGTGGTTTCTCTTGTAATCCCATTGTCTATGATACGTGTTGCTCACTTGGTGTGAGCTCTTAAATCTTGCTTATAGCACAGCAGGTTCCCGCAAGCCATGGGGCACTGAGGCTCAGTGAAGCAGCCTAGAATGGAGCTGCTGTTCAGGCAGCTGTGAGGTCACTGCCAGTGTTCCTGCAAGGGTTGGTGGGACGGCACGCGCTTTGCTGTTATGCTCATGGCAGCAAGGCGCCTAAAAGGGCTGTGAATTGTACTGCAAGTGTGTGGCCTTGTCAGCTGTCTGAGGGGAGCACGCCTACTTGTGCAAATCCCATGGGAGCAGTCTTTGGTTAGCGTGGAAGTGCTGGTACTAAAAACTAACTTTTTCATCATTAACCTAAGCTTTAATCTAAGCAAATGATTTTAACAAAATCTCCAAATTATAATTACAAAGGGAAGGAGATGTGTGGAAAAAAAAAATACTGATTTCTTCAGGAGTGTGAAGCTTTTGGAAGTTGTAAAACCATGATGACCATGCAGTGATCAGAAGTGGATTTGAACTGTAGGGCTCTCACGTTTGGTTATAATGTTGATAAATGACATTGGAGAGTTTGTATACGTAGCATAAATACAATATCATACCTGACTTTTTCCACTTTCCAAGTTCCAAGTGTGTCTCTAAGCACACATGAAAAAGAACTTCAACCATGGGAGGAGGGTTGTCACAAGAATGCTGGAAAGCAGGGTAGAAAGCAATAAACGTGTGTCAAGTTTCTGGACACAGAGACTGTTCACAGTTACAGGTGTCCTGCACTAGGAATTAAATGATGTGCAGCAGGCTTCTGCGGAGTCAAACAGCAGAGCAAGAAGGTCAGTGCAGGTCAGCGTGGAGTGATGCAGCTGTAGGTGTGGGATGCCTGTGGTGCTGCTTTGTGCTCCTCCAGTGTGGGGAGCCTTCTGGTGTTCCATCCCTGGCAGCATTTGCTGTCAGCATTATGTGACTGTAGTAAAATCAGGGCCTGGTAGCGGGGTGGTGCACTGTGCGTTCCCAGGAAGAATGAACATTCTGGAAAGGACCTGACGTTGTGGGAGGGAGCGCTTTGTCTGTACAGAACACATTTCTGCATTGTGAAACCTCCGAGTTAGTAATGACAGGGCAGAGTGTAACCAAATCATGCTGTGATACAACTGCTGGGGTTCTCAGTGCTCAGGTGCACATCTTTAGATGTTAATTTTGGATGGTGGTTATAAAATAAACACCTCTGTTTAATCTTTTTCTAACCCTCCCTTTGAGTTCTATATAGAGAACCATGCTGACCCTTCTCATAACCCTTCCTGGCCCAACTCTCTTCTGTCTTTACCCTCCAGGCCAACTGTTGACATTAAAAATAGGCTACAAACATTTTTCCTTAATAAGGCAAACATGCTGGCCTAAATCACCCATCCTTCCACTATGCAGCCATGCAATAGAGCAGAGTGTCCTTTCCCAATACGTACTGCGGAGAGTAATTTTGTGTGAACTCTGTGTGCAAATTCCTCCAACTGACAGGCATGGCACAGGGTCCTGGGCCCTTGATCCAGTGTGCTGGAGCACAGCATGGGATCCTTGTGGCTTCCTTCCTTTTAAAGTAGGGTCTGAGCAGAGTGCTGGTGAGCGGCGCAGTGCTGGGTGATCCCTCTCTGCCTGATACAGCCCAAACTCAGCTGGGATGTGCTCCCACCCCAGGTATTGAGAGCTGTTTCTGAGCTCCAGTAACTTTGACTGTAGTCTAGAGTTATTCAGAAGGTAACTCTGTGCAAGACTGCACAATGAAGGCGTTGATGCTATAGACACTTCAATGTAATGATTAAAGGAGCCCTCCCTGCTGGGTTCATGGTGCAATTCTGTGCCTACGTTTGAGTTGTACTGAAAAAATTGTACCTGATATGTAAGTTCTCAGACAGAATATTGAGGATACAGTCAGACGTGTTGTCTCTTATTAGTGAATAAGAGGTTAGCAGAAAGGAAACAGAAGCGTGCAGCTCTGAAGGTGCTTTAGCTGAGATCACATAAATCATCCTTCAAAGCAGTTTCTTCTGGCACGATAGCATTCATATACTAGAAGTGTTTAAGTTGTAGACAGTGAGAAGGAACATATTTTTAAAACTTATTAAAATGTTTAATGTACATAAGAAGTAGGAAAGCATTCCTGATATCTTCTCTAATATAAAATTTTCAGATCTCTTCAGAGTATCATTTTTGTTGTTCAGATGTTCTTGGTGTTTTCCCTTTAAATATTGCCGTTCTGCTTCAGTGGATCACAGAATCACAGAATTGTAGGGGTTGGAAGGGACCTCCTGAGATCATCGAGTCCAACCCCCCTGCCAAAGCAGGTTCCCTACACCAGGTAGCACAGGTAGGCATCCAGGCAGGTCTTGAACATCTCCAGAGAAGGAGATTCCACCACCTCCCTGGGCAGCCTGTTCCAGTGCTCCGTCACCCTCACTGTAAAGAAGTTCTTGCGCATGTTTGTGCGGAACTTCCTATGCTCCAGTTTCTGGCCATTTCCCCTTGTCCTGTCTCCACTCACCACTGAAAAGAGTCCGGCCTCGCCATTCTGCCCCCCACACCTTAGATATTTATAGACCTGGATCAGGTCCCCTCTCAGTCTCCTTTTCTCCAGGCTGAACAGACCCAGTTCACTCAGCCTTTCCTCATAGGGGAGATGCTCCAGGCCCTTCACCATCTTCGTGGCCCTCCGCTGGACTCTTTCCAAGAGATCCCTGTCTTTTTTGTACTGGGGAGCCCAGAACTGGACGCAGTGCTCCAGATGAGGTCTTACCAGGGCAGAGTAGAGGGGGAGGATCACCTCCTTTGACCTGCTGGCCACGCTCTTTTTAATGCACCCCAGTAAGCCATTGGCCTTTTTGGCCACAAGGGCACACTGCTGGCTCATGGCCAACCTGTCGTCCACCAGGACACCCAGGTCCCTTTCCGCAGAGCTCCCCTCCAGCAGGTCATCCCCCAACCTGTACTGGTGCATGGAATTATTCCTCCCCAGATGCAAGACTCTACACTTGCTTTTGTTAAACCTCATCCGGTTTTTTTCTGCCCAGCTCTCCAGCCTATCCAGGTCTTGCTGAATGGCAACACAGCCTTCAGGCGTGTCAGCCAATCCTCCCAACTTTGTATCATCGGCAAACTTGCTGAGGGTGGCCATTATCCCCTCATCAAGGTCATTGATGAAGATGTTGAACAAGACCGAACCCAGCACAGACCCCTGAGGAACACCGCTAGTTACAGGCCTCCAACCGGACTCTGCACCACCAACAACGACCCTCTGTGCTCTGCCAGTCAGCCAGTTCTCAACCCACCTCACTGTCCACTCATCTATCCCACACTTCCTCAGCTTTGTTATAAGGACGTCATGGGGGACAGTATCAAATGCCTTGCTGAAATCAAGGTAGACTACATCCACTGCTCTCCCCCTATCCACCCAGCCAGAGACAATTGTCATTGTCATTGGATCATTGTGCAGAAGTTGTGTCATGGGTGCTCTGTACAGGAGTGTCACAGGGACCTTCTGCCATCTAGAGCAGAGCACAAAAAAAAGAAAAAAAGCAGCTCCGAGTTGAAGGAACAGGAGAAAATGAGAGCGAAGTTGCAGGCAGAAGGCAATTCCAAAAAGGCTTGGAAATAAAATCCTATGAAGTCTGAAACTGAAAATGCTGAGATAGGGCTACTTAAGAAACTGACTAATTTCCAGGTATTTTGAGGCCTTCATTGTGTTTGTGCCTTTTGTTTCCCTCTGCTCCTTCCCGCGGAGGTCTGCTGGCCGTGCACGCGTACCTGTGCTGCAGATAGAGGGACAGAGCCCTGCGCTGCCTTCTGCGTGAAGATCGTGCTGCATCCTTCACTCAGAGTGCTGGAATGGGAAAAGGAGCAAGTTAAGGGATCCAAAACCCCCTCTTACCAAGATGGTTGGACAAGTGGGAGCACAGCTGGGTACATATTTGCGGTGTGGAGAAGCAGTGTTTGGTGGCGATTACAGCAACTCCTCCGCGTGTGTTCCCATGGAAGAATTAAACCTCGCGCGCTGGAACGTGCGGAGGAAAGGACGGACGTGCGAGGCGGTGCTGGAACCGGGCCCGAGCCCTCCGGCCTTTCGGAGCCCCGTTAGCGCAGGGCTGGAGCTTCGTCCTCCTGCAGCCCCGAGCGATTCGGGCCGCGTCCCACCCGCAGTAGAGCACCGCCACGCGGCGACGGTTCCGCGCAGCCGCGCTCGTAGCGCTCCGCTCCCCGGGGACGCCGCTCTGTTCCGGGACAGCGCCGCGGGGCTTCGGCCGGCAGAGCGCCTCGGCCGGGCACGGCGCGGAGCTCGGGGTGACCGTGCCGCGCAGGTACGCTCCTGCGGACGGGCTCGGGACGGAAGCGCTGCGGGAGCGGCGCGTCCGCGCTCCGGCTGCGGGCCGCCGGCGATCCGCCGCGGGCGGGGCCTCGTGGGCGGGGCCGCCTCCGGTGCAGGCGCGGAGCGGTGCGGGCACGTCGCGCCCCGCCCTCCTTGGGGGCTGCCGGCGATGGAGCGGCCCGAGCGCTGAGGGCGGGGGGCCCGGGCCCGGCTCCGGCTCCGGCTCCCTGGGCTACGGGCGCTGCGGGCGCGGCTCTCCCGCCGTTCGCCCCCCGCGGAGCGGCCCGGCCCGGCCCGGACCATGGTGCAGCGCTTCAGCCTCCGGCGGCAGCTCTCCAAGGTGGGTCCCGGCCGTTCTCGCGAGTCGACCTCCGCGGGGGGCTGGGGGCACCGCTGCCTTTTGTTCCCCGCGCAGACACAAAGGCTGGGTGGGACCTCAGGCGGCGCCCGGCGCGGTGCTGTGGGGCTCGAGGGAGGCCGCCGCTTCCTTGCCGATGTCGTCGGGCGCTGCAGAAAGGGGATGTGATCGTTATCATTTGTGCCGGTGCGCGGTGTGCGGCGCTGCTGCCGCCGTTCCTCGGGCGCGCTGGGTGCTGCCGACCCGCCGCACACCTGCGGGAGCGGGGCCGGCGCTGTGCCGAGAACAAAGGCGGTGCTCCGAGCGTCTCGAAGAGCTGCTACTGCGTGCAGCCGTGCGGTTCTGTCACTGAATCGATCCAGCGCGTTTGGTCGGATAAACGTTTGGGAAAAACTGTCGGTCGGTGAATAAAGTGAGGCTGTGCGCGGTCCGGGGGATCCCGCCCTGCAGAGCCCGGCGCGGCCCCGCTCCCGGCACGGCCGCTCGGCCCCGCGCTGCGCTGCTGCGAGTTGCGGTGCTGCTGCGCTCCGAAGTGCCGGGCTGCTTTGATGTTACGGTTGAACTTTTCCCCCACGATACGTGTTTTAAAATGCGTTTGTCAAAAATTTGAAGCGCTGTTGTAGGCACTATTTGAAATAGGTTAAAAATGCACACCCTCCAGACCACCTTGGGTGCCGATATGGTTCTGCTGCACCTTATTTGTTTCTGTTTCTCTGTGTCTCCTCATCTTGGAGAAATGGAGAGGAATGGTTTCGAGGTGGTACGGAAAGGAAAACTCGCTTCTTTGGGTCGTTTCCCTTGTCCACGTCAGGAGCTGTGCCTGCAGGCAGAGCTGTGTCCCTTCTGAAGGGAAGGTCTGGTCAGCAATGACTCTCGTGCACACTCCTGTGGACACTTACATGGGGCATCTCAAATACTTTTAAATGAACTCCTTTGGATAGCTCCATTTTAATTCTGTTTTATCCAAGCCGACTTTAAGCTAAGCCTACTTAGCTTGGCTTGTAAATGATGCACAGGTTCTGAAGTATAGTGAACCAGAGGAGAAGAATCAAAACTCAGATTTGCTTCT